GACAAATCAGGCACAATGTGCCTTGGCCGGTTTGCCCTACTATATTTGCTACTTCACTTTATCCACTTTTCCTTGTTTAGCAAAGACTGTTGAACCTTTACCCATTGGGTTGCATTGCGACCCGATCAGCCCTGCTTTACTGTTTTACGGTGTCCAACGGCAGACGATTTTACTCGTCAAGGGGAGAACGCTGGCAATCAATGGGTTAATGGCTAACAAAAATATCTGCCAATGTCTGGTTTTCTCAGGCTGCATCCAGACTGGGTGCCCGGCACTTGTGCTTGTCACTTGTTTTGGCGCCTAGTTTGAACATGATGCTTCCAAATGAAATTGGGCACTGTGCCCAAGAAAGGGCACTACCTCTAGAGGTAGTACTCAACAACGGCACTGTGCTCAACATGTTTTGTGAACCATTTTGAACATTGGGCATCCGTGCCGGGCACTCAGTCTGAACGAGCCCTCAGTAAACCCATTAGGCCCAATGCCTCATGTTTTGCCTTATTTGTTATTTACTGTTGCTAACACTAAAGAATTTCCATTGCCAATACAAGGGGAGACAAAATTATTTGCAATATACTCATCTGGGGAAGACCCTTGCAGCTTGACCTTGCATCAGCTTTTGAACAAGCTACCATGGTCAAACATTGACATAATTTTATATTTTTGTCACACTGGAGCAAATAAAATCTATAGGAGAAGTGTTGTTAACTTTGCATGACACACATAGCAGCACAATAAAACCTTCTTATACAGGGTTTAATACCTAGAATAGAGTAATGGACACTTTAGACATTCAAGTCAAGATAAATCATTCGGACGAACGCCAGCTCACCTTTCGTTTTAGGTCTTTGATGGCCTGTTCCTTCGATGCGATATCTTCATTTAATCCAGCTATGGTATCGTTTAGTTCGAGCGACTTTTGCTTTAGTCATTTCTGCTCTTTAGACCACGCGCCAATATCGAAGTGCTTGGCCATAAGTTTAAAATTCTAGAGAAAGTCCCTCGTGTAAATTCCTGAAAATAAGACCAAATCTTATGAATTATGTATGAATATGATTTTGAAATACTGGCAAACAAAGCCCTCGTTTTAAATTTTCAGCTACTTAAGCAATGAACGAGAAAACATCATTTTATTTTAAGGTACGCTACACATTTTTCGTAATGTTGTGACTTACCATGAACAATAAACGAAGCTGATATTCATCCCAAAGCTTTTGTCGTTTCTGGTCTCAAAGGACAATCGTACAAAAAAGACTCAATCTCTTCGCTTGTAGTCAGAGAAAACGACAGTCTTACGGAAATAAACGGCAAAATACGAAAAACCGATGGGTTTGGAGCGTGTTGATATCAAATTCCACGCCTCTTCTCCGCGCACTAAATAATTAATTAGAGGACTGGTAATGAATGAGCGATTTCGCAGGGAAAAAAACCCACCGTGTTTAAGAAGTCTGGGAAGTTTTCAAAAATATTAGAACTATTCCACTTTAGAGAATGGTAGGGGGATGGGGCAGTTGGATGGCGTTTCACATGAACAAATTTAAAACAGAAATTGTAAATGTGAAATAATTAATATTAATTGCCGCGTTGAATAATAGATCTAAAACCAGTACAGGTATAGTTCTGGATTGTTACTACTTTCCCCGAATATTTATGGGCTCTTTGGGTAAAATATTTGGTGAATAATATTACGTAAAGAAAAACGCTTCAGCGCAAATTCGTAATCAGCTACCCACACTAAATTTGATTATAACAGTTACAATAAAAAATTCACTTTTTAATAACGACTAACAATTTACTTTATGTACTAACTGTTTTATCTCAACAACATGAACAGCTAGAAGCTACAATTAGGAAAATAATTTCGAAATTATAAATATCTGCTTTTTTCCAAATTATAATAACTACGTCCTGATATGGATGAGGTCATAAATTACTTGAGCAAGGCATGCCCATTGAACTATTAGTAAACTGGAATGATAACCTCAATGATAAAGGTTTTCATTCTTCGATTATTATTTTCCGGTTATCATTTTTCATCCTTCGTTATCATGCAATCTTCGATTCGTGATCGTACTCGCTCCGTAAAATCCTAAGGATTTTACACTTTATGATTGGGGTTCTGAGTAAGAAAACTTGCAAAACATTGGCTAAAGGAATAATCAAATATAGTCAAATCCTGAAATGGGATTTGGACAGGATTTTACTTAAACACGAACAATATATTTAGATATACCTAGTAAATTCCACACCAATGGTCAGGATATATAGCAATGGAATCAGGAAATGTATTTTTGGAAACAAAAACTCATTCTTTGTGAAACTTTAACGATTTAATTTTCTAAATAAGTACTTGCCCAAATCTTGTATTTGGAAAAGCCAAAACAGAATAACTTTCACGGACAGCATATTCACTTATTTCAAGTGGGTAATGTCTAAAGTAAAAAAAAGTATGGTAATTAGCCCGCATTCAAATTAAGCGCACAGCAGTCGGTGCAATAAGCGATTGTTATTGTTAATAACTCGTTGGCAATATTGTTAATATCTTTAGACCTTTCTCATGGAAACACGTGTTTGGTGTCACACACA